CTGCATACAGATACAAAATGTAGCATACCTCTATGTTAACCAGCTAATTTGCATACATGTACGCCAGATACAGAATTAAAATTTTATGCCTTAATCATTATCCAGGTCAGAATCTCCGTTGAACAACTCTCTGGAGTATCCTCTCTGAGACTTCAGTGGTTATTACACAATCAGTTGATAATGAAAATTGCAAGGTGGTAGTTTGTGCTTCCTCCATAGCAACATCACTTGGTGTTCCAGGTGCTGCAACAATGTTACGGGTAGATTGACGCCTTTTTTCCAGAGCAGACTGAAATGTATCACAAGCACTAGGGAAGTCTTCATCCAGTGAGAATTTCTTTGCCAACTTTGTAGCTGGTCCAAGGGCCAATTGTCCATTGAATAGCACACGACTGACACGAAAAGATCTTTGATTAAGGCCCTCTTGAAGTTTAATATTCAGATCTTCTAGGGAGACATCTCCACCCTCTGTCTTTCTGATTTCCTCAATAACAATGTCATAGGCAGTGCCAAAGAGATGTTCCTCAGAAATATTTGCAGCAATTATATACTTGGCAACCTATCAAAAGGCAAATTAGCCAAGGCAATGAAACACAAATATTCAGTGATTGTTAAGTCTTCTAACTGACTCTTAAACTAAGAGGGCAGGTAAGTTTTATAGTAATGTTGTACCCCTTTTACATTTTGCCGACTACTTCAGTCATCAATTCATGACCAATGATTTTTAAGGAACAGTCACCTCCATCAAAACTCAAATAAAACCCTACAATGTGGTCCAGGTTAAATAAGATACCTGTCAGTGATCAAACTATGTGTTTTATTTGCTTTCCACAGGTACAGGTAGGTAGGTTTGATAGGTTCCTATGTGGAATACATAATTTCTATAGATCACAAGACTCATTTGACCACTTCACTAACCAGAAATTTATAAATAGATAATATTAAGCTGTTTCCCCTCTAAGTTTAATACATACAACAAATATACAAACAAACAGTCACATGTCAAACTAGTCAATGAGAATTATATACTAGTCACCTTATTCAATGGTTAACATACACTGTTTAATAAATGTGGACATTTTGCAAGTTGCATCGACTCACTATTATCTTTCCAAGCCCCAAAGGGGCAAGGAAATAAAAGATTTATTCTTCCACTATTATTTCACTTCTTGATATTTTGATTTAGTTTGCAAAACACATCCAATGACCTATTTGTGCATCATATTGATCGCATAAGGAAGACATAAAAGACCAACTTAACAAAAAAAAACCATTCACTAAGTTTCACTTGTGACTGTAAGATCCAAGTGTAACCTTATTTTCTATTATTCGTTCTTGCGTAATTTGTTTTTCCTTTGCGTACGCAAATTAG